CTTCATGGCCAGCGCGACGGCGCCGTCGATGGGCAGGAGTAGGCAGATGAACACGATCCCTGCGATGTCGCGTAGCTCTGCCGCGTTGGTCAAGGCCAGCCTGGCGAGGACAGTGGCGAGGCGACCGAGAACGTTGTATATATATATATATACTAGTGTGGACCCGTGGATTAAATCCACGGAGCCCGGGGAACCGAACCGTGGCGGTGAGTTCAGGGTTGCGCGACGCCGTCAGCAAACGCTGCAGGTCATCATCATCATCATCATCATCATGATCATCATCATCGTCGCCGTCTTCGTCGTCGTCGCTGAAGTCGTCGTCGCCGTAGACGCTGTCGCCGCCGCCGTTGTGACGACGTTGATAAGGGTGAGGACGATGTGGACGACGATAGCGATAAAGAAGATAACGATGATGATGGTGATGAGGATGTTGATGATGATTATGATGACAATGATGCCTTTGAGCCCCCTGCGTCCGAAAATCGATTGCCTCCGAAAAAGCAAATGCGGGGTCCACCCCGGGTTTGCTTCTCCGCCCGCTGAATGCCGTGGCAAACGACCGCGCGCTCGAAAAATTACGCTCAGGGGTCGCGCTGCCGAGGTTGATGATGATGATCACGGTGGTGGCGGTGATGATGAGGATGGCGAAGCTTCTTCTTCGCTGCTTTTGAGGCCCGCGCGGGATGAGGCTCCAGGAGGAGCAAGGCTACGAGGATGCATCGCGCGCACTACGGCATGCCTGACACAGATTTGTCAAATACATGAAGAATGAGAAAGCCTCCCTCTCACGAAGAAGCTCGAAGACGCCGCCGGCACTTTGCACCTTCATGCGATGCAAGTGCGGCCATGCCGCGGGGCGCCTCAAAAAAGCATAAGCATCGCATATCAAAGTTTTAGCTTCTGACATTGAGGCGTCCTCTGCGCGCACCTCCTGCGCGAGATTCAAGTGGCCGTCAATGCGCTTCGGGATGTCGTATTGGCGCAGGAAATCCTTGGCTACGAGTGACGTAACGCGCTCAGACATCAGAGGGGCGAAAGTGTCCAGAAGCTTGCGCTCGCCGCCCATCGCTCCGCTCTCAGGCGCGTCAACGAATTGAAACAAGCCCTCCGGGATGCAAGCCGCCAGTGATGTTTTGGGGTGACGGCGCTGCAGGCACGCGAGGTTCCCAAGCAAGTGCTGTTTTCGGAAGGGGCCCACGTTCGCAATCTTCACTCGCACCCACGCCTGAAGGCAACCGACCTCCCGGACGAAATTAGGCAGCGCCGCCAGCACGGCCCTGATCTGCTCTTCCACAGAGCTCACAGACATCGTAGATGTGTCAAACGTGTGCGTCTGCGGCTTGAAATCTTCGGCGGGCACTGCGCGGAGGACGCCCACCATGTCATCCACGGACATGTCCGGCTGCTTACGCAAGCGCGCGACCATGCATGTAAAAATCCCCGTCGAACGGGTGAGACTCAGAGTCGACAAGACCCAACATACGTCCGGGGATACGTCTGCAGCTACATGCCAGCGCTCCAGCAAGAGAGCGAACCACCTGTCTGTCGGCGGGGTTAGCCTACAACCGCCGAGGCCACGCCAGTCATCATAGAAGGGGTCGTCTTGCGGGTGTCCCACGCAATCTTCGACTTTCCATCTTTTAAACAGCGTGTCAATGGTCAGAAGCCCGGAAGTGTTCGCGCGCCCCCTCTCTCGCTGGATCTCCTCCCAAGTGGGGCGACGCACGTCGTGCAAATGCCTTTGCAATGAGACGAACGAGAGGCTCGAAAAATCAATCATGCGCAACTCTGGAATGCAGGTGCGGAGGGGTGCCCGAGATCCGGCCTGCAAATAATCGGAGTAGTAGTTCCGGTAGGTCAGAAAGGCGGCACTGCATACGCGGAGCCGCAGCGCGAACGGTGACTCGCCTGGTCAGAGGAAAGACGACAACAACGCCCCCCCTCCCGAACCATCTCCCCGCCATCTCACGGAAGAAGGGATGGGAGGAGGGCGAACGTGTTGTATGTTTTTCCCTGGCCTGGGGCAGGGAACAGCTCTATAGCGTAGAACAAAGTGGCGCGGCAGGCGTCGAACTTTGTGAAGTGCCTGAAGACCGGGCGCCCAGCACGGAGAACGACACGTAAGGCCACATACGCATAGTAGAATGCTGCGAGCAGAAACGCAGTCGGCGCAGCAGCGTACATTGGGAATGCACTTAGGAAGCCTTGCAGAAACGATTCCATCTGCCACGACTTCGCCAGGCCAGCAGAACCTCGTTTGCTACGGGTGTCCTCGAACGCTGCATACGTGAGCGCGTTCCGGGAGCTTCCAAAAGACTGCCCTCCGTAGACGCGTCTCGCGGGCAGCGCCAAAATCTGTGCATCAATGTCGACCTCGTCCATGCTGGAAAAGCCGATTGGGGGTTACTTGAGCCAGAATTGAGCCAAAACGGCTAAGCGCCAGCGCATGCCTCGAGCCACACCGGCTACGGGCGAGGAGAATTCGCCGGCCCCTCGGGCAAGAGGCGTGCAAATATGTCTAGTTCGCACGCGCTGGGCCGAACCCGGGGTGACCCCGGTCGAACAGTTCCCCTGCCTGAAGTCCCAGGAGGCTCCCAGACAACCGAAAAATATCGAAAACGGCCGAGTGCGTCTGCCCAAGACGGCCCCGAAATATCCCAAGAGGCCCCGAAGATGCCCGAAGAAACTTCCTCCTCCTCCGTCTCCTTCCTCAGCCTCTCCTCCTCCTCCTCCTACTACTCCTCCTCCTCTTGCTCCTCCTCCCCCATCCCTCCCCTGCCGCTCCTCCTCCCTCCTCTCCTCCTCTTTCTCCTCCTCGGCCTCATCCTCAGCGGGGCCGCATTGGCCACGAACCATCAGCGCAACCCCAACGATCATACCATAGGGTCCGGCGGAGTATGCGAAGCGAGTGAATCGGATGCGCCATTGGCGCGCGCGCGGCTGCCCACATTGAAACGGCCGCCATAGGTTGCGCCCTCGTCTGCCGAGAATGAAATGAAAGGGCTTCCCATTGCGTGCGCCGTAGGTTGCGCCCTCGCCCGCCGAGAAGAAACGGACCCCTAAAGCTTGCGCCGCAGGTTGGCCCCTCGCACGCCGAGAATAAACAGGCTGCCGTTGTTTGCGGCGCAGATTGCGCTCTCGGCCGGCCGAAAATAAAAATGTCGCCCAATGGATGCGCCATAGGTTGCGCCCTCGGATGGCCGAAAATGAAGCTGTCGCCCAATGGGTGCGCCATGAGTTGCGGCCTCGGCCGGCCGAAAATAAAACGGTCGGCTAATGGATGTGCCATAGGTTGCGCCCTCAGCCGGCCGAAAATGAAACTGTCGCCTAATGGATGCGCCATATGTTGCGCCGTCGGCCAGCTGAAAATAAATTTGTCGCCTCACGGATGCGCGATAATTTGCGCTTTCGGCCGGCCGGACAGGAAACTATCGCCTAATGGATGCGCCATAGGTTGTGCCCTCGGTTGTCCGAACATGAATATGTCGCCCAATGGTCGCGATCTTTCAGTCAGTTCAGACAGTTCAGTTCAGTTCAGGCAGTTCAATTAGGTTCAGTTTACCTCGCGAGAATCAATTTTGGGGCACGCCCGAAATCAAATGTGGGGTCCACCCCGTGTTTGCTTCTCGGCGCCCGCGCGCAAGGGAAGCGGTCCCCGACGACGGCGACGACGGCGGCGACGACGACGACGGCGACGGCGGCGACGGCGACGGCGGCGGCGATGGCGACGGCGACGGCGACGGCGACGGTGACGACGACGACGACGACGACGACAACGACGACGACGACGAGGACGACGACGACAAAGACGACGATGGCGACGGCGACGGCGACGGTGACGGCGACGGCGACGACGGCGGCGCCGACGGCGGCGCCGACGGCGGCGACGGCGACGACGACGTCGACGACGACGGCGGCGGCGGCGGAGGAGGCGTCGTGGGCGGGCCGCTCGCCGAGCGCCGCCGTCGGCTCTCTGGTGGCCGTGGCGTCGCCGCGGCCGTCGCCGCCGCCGACGCCGCCGCCGTCGTCCTCGACGGCGCTGGGGTGTGTCACGGTTTCCGCCGGGTCCGCTGCACTGCGCTCTCGGGCGGCCGAAAATGGAACGGTCGCCTAACGAATGCGCCATAGGTTGCGCCCGCGGCTGGCCTACAATTGAACTGTCGCCTAATGGATGCGCCATAGGCTGCGCCTTCGGCCGGCCGGAAATGAAGCTGTCGCCTAATGGGTGCGCCATAGGTCGCGCCCTCGACCGGCCGAAAATAGAACTGTCGCCTAATGGTCGCGGCCCGTCAGTCAGTGCAGTCAGTTCAGTTCAGTTCAGTCAGTTCAGTTCAGTTCACTGCACTCCGCGAGAAACACATTCGGGCTACGCCCGAAAGCAAATGTGGGGTCCACCCCGCGCATGCTTCTCTGCGCCCGCGCGCAAAGGAAGCGGGCGCCGACGACGGCGGCGACGGCGACCACGACGAAGGCGACGGCGGCGACGGCGACGGCGACGGTGACGGCGACGGTGACGGCGACGGCGACGACGACGACGACGACGATGAGGACGACGACGACCACGGCGACGGCGACGGCGACGGCGACGACCATGACGACGGCGGCGACGACGGCGGCGACGGCGACGACGAATGGGTCGGCGAAGGCAAGAGGGGCTGGCGAAGGCAAGAGGGACTTGTTTCGCATTGAAACAGATGCGACGGGGGGCGCGGCAGCGGGAAGTCCGCAGGCGCTGGCGTTCCCGCCAGAGGGCGGGCTCGGGCCCGCGGCGCGCCGGCATGGAACTGGAGGGGCGGCAAGCAGAAGAGCGCACGACGATGTCGGATGGCCTCAACTGGATGGGAGACAGAGGGGACGGCAGACGACACGCGGGCGCCACATAGGGCGCCGAGCTCTCGCGGCAGAGATGGGGACCAGAGAGCGCAGGAGACAGCAGAGTGCAAGAGGGGCATCAGCGGGGGGGCGGGGGCGGCGGATGTCGGCTATGCAGCGGGCGCCGTCTACTCGCTCTCCTGGAACTCTATGCTGGGCAGGTCTTTCAGGGCCTCCTGGAAGCGGTGCGCCGCGGAGTCCTCCGCAGGCTTGTTCACGGCTTTCACCAGCACTGCGTGACCTTTCAAGACGGCGTTGCCGAAGATGGCGAGGAGCATGTCGAGGTCCGACTGCGTGGCCGCGGAGTGGTCGTTGATCACCCTTGCCCGCTCCGCGCTGTCCGCCTCGTTCAAAGGAATGCCGGCGGCATCAAACCTAGAGCGGAAAACGTAAGTGCGGCCTGTGATCGAAATCGCCACGGAGGCGTCGGTGGCGAACTCCAGGACGGCGAGCAAGATCTTCTGGTCGGAGCTTCCGGGCGCGGCCGCGGAGTGCAGCGTCATGGGCAGAACCCGCTGGGGGTCGTGGACGGTCGTGGTGAGGTCGGAGTCTCTCCCGTGCTCACCCAAGAAATCGATGCCCGTGAACGGGTGCACGTGCACAGCGATGGCCGCCGGGTCGGGGAACTGCTTGCGGTCGATTCCCTGCAGAGGGTTCCGGACGCGGTGCTGGATGTATCCGTTCACTATCATGTCCAGCGCTGCCTTCGCGTCCTCTTCGTCGCCCGTTTTGTAAAAAGCGACGCGGCCGTTCTCGAAAGGAGCCTGCCGAGAGGGGGTCAAAATATGTTGAAAGGACGGTCCAGACGGGGACTGCAGGGGCAAGGGCCGCGCGGCTGCCACCCTTTGCGGGCGGCGCCGCAGTCTGAGCAGACGATGGTCGGAGATTTGGGGGGGGCCGCGAGAATGTGGGGAAGGGGTCAACGAAGGCCAGCCGAAGCACCGGGGCCAGCACGACATCGTGCCGGTCTCGGGGAGCAGCGGTCTGGAGCGAGGGGGGGAGGTTTGGTTACGGCGGGGAGGGGTTCGGAACACTCGGCCCGCTGCGGGTTCTGCTGGTTGCGCGTGATGACCACGTGCAGGCCGTAGTCCCGCTGGAGTTCCTGGACATTGCGCGCGAAAGTGTCTCCCTCTGCGAGCTCGTCCTGCGCGGCCAGGCAGTAGGCGTTCAGGGCCTGAATAATGTTAGCGTCCACTCGTGGGTGCGCCTCGCGTTGGATGATGATTTGCGTGAGAGGCTCGCCTGCCGGCATTGTGGACACGACGTCCTGGGAGTTGTTCGTGCACTTTCGGACCGTGATCCTGATGGGCGCATTCGGCGGCCTTGCAGGGGCCCGCGCCGGTCTTGGCGGCGGCAGCGCCTGGACCCGTTGTTGGCTGGGGCGCACCGGCGGCGGGGCACCTGTGTTGGAAGCGCCGCCCGGGGCTCCAGCCGCGGCGCCCTGCCAAGCGGCCGTCCGGGCATCTCTCACTTCCAAGCGTTCCCGCAGTTCTCATGAGTGGGGCGTTGGGGTCGGAGGAGGGGGCGGCGGGGGGTGAACTGCAGGAGCACCGGGAGGTTCGAATCAGGAGAGGGCCGTTGAGACACCGCTACGTGGCTCCCAGGAGGGGTTCCTGGCCGCCATGGCTGGACGCAGCACCGAAAACGGGGTCGGGCGGATCCCGGGAGGGGTCCAGGGGCCACTTTGGACCTTTCGTGTCTCGGACCGCCCTGCTCTGACAGAGAATGCCCTGTGGCCGGACGTCCTGGCCGGATGCCGACCCGGGGACGCGGGCGCCCGAGTTCGTCTTGCGCAGCTTGGGGGGCGTGGCGGGCAGCATCAGGACAGGCACGCCCGCGGCGGCGATGGCCGCGACCGCGGCCCCGCCGAGGAGCTGGACGAAGAGCCGCACGAGCAGCTGCAGGCGCAAAGCGATCCCCGCGGTGAGCAGGCGAGCTTGCGAAGGGCACGGGCGCGTCGGCGCGCCGCGCGCCTCAGCCGCCCAGCGCGCGGCGGCCGAGGCCGGCGGCGTCCGCGAAGCGGCTGTGGAATGACGGGGGCGCGCGGCGGCCGCGAGCGCAAGCAGCGCCGCGGCAGCAACCGTCCAGCCGACGCGGCGAGCGGCCGCAGGCATAGCAGGGAATGGGGGGCGCTGGAAGGGCACGCTCGTCGCGCAGGGCGCGCCGCTGCAGGCTTGAGCCGAAGGGAGCTGCGCAGCGCGAGTGGGCGCGCCCGCGCGTGCGGAGCGCGGGGGCATGGGCAGCCGCAACGTTTTGTAGAATGGGGTCCTGCGGGCGTGGTGCGCGGACGGAGGAGCGCTTTGGCTGGCCTCGTGAGCGCGCTGGGGGTGGAGGCGGCCGCTAGCCGGAGCCATGCCGTCAGCGGTGAAGGTATTCGACGAGGAATGCGTTGGGGTACCGAGCGAGGAACTCCAGAGCGTCGCTCACGGAGAGCACCGACGCCCCCGCGTCGCTGTCCAAGCGCCAAATGTCACCGTCGATCACCCGCAGGGCCACCCAATGCGACTGGTCTTTGTTGATGACTGCGCCGGACACCGCTTCGGCGTTCAGGCGCAGGAGGCCTTGCGCGGGGCGGGGCTGCAAAATGATGAGCCCGTGCTTTTGTGGGGGGGCGGGCGCGGGAGGGGGCCCGCCAGCCCGTCGCTCGCAGACCTGCGAGGGCGGAGGCGCAAGCGGAACCTCGCTCGCCCAGGGTGCGGGAGGTCTCCTGGGGAAGAGGGGCAGCAGAGGTGAAGGGGAGGGCCTGCCGGAGTGGCCTGCAAAGGGTTGTCCAAGTTGAGGCGGAACAAATTCTGTTTCATGCGCTGGGCGACGGCCAGGACCGCTTCGCTGTGCCAACCGCCGTCACTTTCGTGCAGGTGCCGTGGTTCGGGGTTGCCCTCCATGGCGCTCTCGCCCAAGCGCAGAGTGCAAGCAGCGGTCATGTCCGCGACTGTGAGGAAGTCGAAGCCCAGGGCGTTGTTCAGCGCATGAAGGCCGCAGCGTGCCTCTCGTTGGCGTTCGAAGTAGACGGGGCAGGCCGCGGGTGGACGCGGGCGCGCAGTCTCTGTTGCGCGCTCGCCGGGCGCAGGCGCGCCGCCTTCGGCGGCTGGCGCCCGCGGCGGCACGCTCCGGCGGGTTCGGGTAGCATTAGTTGGGGCAGCTTCTGGCGCAGAGCCGCGCGTCTGGCCACCCGCCGGGGGCAGCGGCCTATCTGCGGGCGGGCTCTGTCGCGCTTGGCCCAGAATGTCACGGTAGACGATGTTGTCAGTGAACGTGCCGGCTGGATGATCGGCGGACGCCTCGCGAGCGCCGTGCTTGTCGGAAGAGCCGACAATGACTCTGACGTGGGCGTAGCCCCCAGCGCGAGAGAGTGCCACGTAGAGCTGCCCGTGGGCGAACACCGGATCCTCGAGGAGGAGCCCGACGCGATGCAGGCTTTGCCCCTGGGCTTTGTTGATCGACATGGCCCAGGCGAGTTTGATGGGGAACTGGCGCCTGACCATGATGAACGGAAGGTCGCCCTCCTTGGAAGACATGGGGATGCGCGGGATGAAGTGTCGTTCTCCAGCGCATTTACCAGCGGACATCCCAACGCGGAGGGTAGGAAAACTGGCGTTCCGAGAGGTCCTGAACGGGCGGGGAACCCAGAAATTCTGAGGAAGGTGTTGGGGCGGGGAGAGGAGGAGGAGGAGGAGGAGGAGGAGGAGGAGGAGGGGGAGGAGGAGGAGGAGGAGGGGGCGCGTGGGATTCTCCTGAAGGGGGCGCCTGCGAGGATCAGGACGTCGAGCGCCCGCGGCTTGCACGCTACCACAACTGCTCGAATGCCGTTGCAGAGGCCGAGCTCGGCGTTGATGTTGCGCATCAGAATGACGACGGCCCCCGCGCAGAAGCGCAGCGTGCAAGGGGAGGCCGGAGGGCCCGGCGAGCAAGGGCCCGCCCTTCGCGAGCAGGCGGAAGGTCGTCGCAGTGCTCCGCCCGACCGCGCGGGGGCCAACAGGGGGCTGGCTGCCGTTGCGGTCGCGCGCGTCTGCGAGCGAGCGCGGCTTGCGAAAAGGAGGGCCGTGCTCGCCGAGAATAGTTCCAGGGAGTTAAGGAAATCGACCGGGTAGTTGGCGTAATCATCATCGGTGCCCCCGCCGATGCGGTCGACGCTGCAGTACTCCGCGACGGATTCGGGCGGGAACCGAGCGAGGACGGCGTCGTTGAAAGATTGCACCACGTCGTTCTTCGGGGCGAGGACGGCTGTGGAGCATAGGCACTGGAGGGCGTCGGGCGGCACTGGGGACACGGCCGCTGCGAGGGAGAGGCCGGCGTCGACGACGGACCCGAAGACCCAGGACGCGAGGGATTCGCACGTCGTGCCCGGCGGGGCGAGGACGTCGTCGTTCAGAAGCACGGCGGCGGGGCCGACGGAGGGGTGCACGGGCAAGCGGCCGTCGCCGACCTCCAAGAGGAACTCCGCGAAGGCGGGGTCGTTGCTCGCGCGCCGGTTCTGGACCAGGGAGTGGGCGCGCACCATGCCTGCGGTGAATGCGGGGTGGCGCGTGACCGCATGAGCTTTGATCTTCTCCTCGTCCGCCCGGGGCACCACGGGGAGGACCTGCCGGAAATCGCCAGCGAGCACGAGGACCTTGCCCCCGAAAGGGGCCTCGCAGCGGCAGATGTCGCGCAGGGCACGGTCAGCTGCGTGGAGGGCCTCCAGCGGTGTCATAGAGATTTCGTCCCACAAGATGATGTGCGCAGCGTACAAGACGCGCCCTCTGGCGCTGTGAGCGGTGACTGAGGATTGAGCATTCTCGTCGGGCAGCGGCACGGGGAGGCCGAATCTTGAGGAAACAGTGCGGCCGTTGGACAGGAGCGCCGCGGCCACGCCGCTCCAAGCGCAAGCAAGCGGCAACTTGCGGAGGCCGCGGGCGTAATGAATGAGCGCCTGGAACAAGAAAGACTTGCCTGTCCCACCGGGTCCGTCGACGAAGAACGCGCCTCCCGCGTCCTGCCGAAGTGCAGCGGCGATGTCGTCGAATGCTCTCGCTTGCTGCGGGGCTATAGATCACCGGGGGCCTTGGCTACCCTGGGTCCTACCCAAGGCCCGAGGCTTCCCAAGGGTAGGCCCTACCCAAGGCCCTAGGCTTCCCAAGGGTAGGCCCTACCCAAGGCCCTAGGCTTCCCAAGGGTAGGCCCTACCCAAGGCCCTAGGCTTCCCAAGGGTAGGCCCTACCCAAGGCCCTAGGCTTCCCAAGAGTAGGCCCTACCCCAGGCCCTAGGCTTCCCAAGGGTAGGCCCTACCCAAGGCCCTAGGCTTCCCAAGGGGTAGCCCTAGGGTAGCCCTAGGGGTGGGCCCCAG